CATGCTAGAGCTAGTACCCTAACTAAAGGCTCCACCACCTCCAATGGGCTGGGCCCGTACACAGTGCTCACTTATTTCTCTGTCTTCACCTGTCAATCATAGAAGGCAACTCTGGGACAAAACCTGGGCTTACCTGGGAGCGCTCAGTACTGAGGGGCCTGGCAGATGTAGGCACAGCAGTTGCTGAGGCCCTTCACTGGCTGAGGTGCAGTTACAACCAGCATGCCAACCTTGGGACTCAGGCTCCATATGTCCAAGTACAGCAAAAGCATACTCACTCTGAGTTTACTCTTCATTACACCACAATTCCTGAAGCAATAGGCAGCAACAACATATACACCTTTCTTAGGGGTAGCTAGTTTATACTTGTCATGTTAAAATGGAGGGAGTGTACCTCAGTCTACTTGCTATGCCCCTGGCTCTGACTCACAAACAGCTTTGCTCAGGGCACTGCTCTCTCCGCAGTGAGCCTACAGCACCACCTGCTGTCTAGAAGAGATCACTCATGGGAGTAGTTCTGAGGTTGGAGCAGGTGACACCAGAGGGTGCTGTTTGGAGCTGATGCATGGCACCTGGTCTGGGAGCCTCACACTGGATGTTATGAACATTTCCTTCAGACAGGATATGCTGAGGCCAAGATGAGCCAGGATACCTATTGGGACATGGAGGTTGACTGGGGAGGACAAGAGGAAGGTGTCTCTCCCTTGGTGGCATTGTGGGAGAAACTACACTTTTTTTGAGGGGTAGGAAGGGGGAAATAGATCAAAAATCTTTCTAAATCTCTCCTTAGACTTGTACCCTACTATGGGCACTTACACAGGTCCTGTCCAGCCCCAAGCCATCTGGTTTCTAGGTTGCCTGGTGCCCTTTCTGCCTCACCCTGCTCCTAGCTAGGTGCTCACCTCCAGCAACCTGCCTGTTAAATACCCATTCAGACTCCTGCACTGGGTTCCACTTCAGGTTGCTGGCAAAGCCTTGCCAGCTTTGCCCTCTAGCTCATACCTCTGCTTACGACCACCAGAGAGCACACATACCTGAGAGCAGAGAGGCACCTGGCCCTGACTTTGTCCTTCATATAGTCACTCTCTGTGATCAATGGGCCTTGATTATCACTGGCCACAAAAGCCTGACAACTCTAGGGAGTAACAGAAAGACCACATAAGGTTTGCTTCAGGCCAGACAGCAAGGAAGGAAGTGCAATGGCCATGGTGCGCAGCTCCCTGGCCACGGGTGCTGTGGGTGACGGAGGCATCTGGGGCCTTCAGCATTCCAAGTTCTGCCAGCTGTTTCTCAAGAGAAAGTTTTTCAGTGTCATACAGAGATGTGGTTTTTGCTTGGGTAGCTGGTGGACACAGGAAGCCGCACGGTCCCATCACGGATGCCTGGTAAGGACATATTGCTTGTGTTTGACTCCTAGTTACAGACAGAACGGCAAACAGGTGATTTTAAAACTCTGGGATGACAGGGAATGCTGGGAAAGCAAGCTAGTCTAGCTCCTGATAAAGCAGCAGTGCAGATAACAATGAATTTTCTGCTCTTCACAGCTCTTCCAATCCGCTGTGGAACATGAAGGCCTCCTGCAAACGGGGGCGAATTAATAAGGCTGGAAGAACACACACTGTTCTCTTGTGGAACTCCACAAAGTTTATTTCTGTGTCCCCAAGTAACCAGCTCTTGAACAACCAGTGCCTCTGATCCAATGCAGTCTTCTCCCTGTCTACAGGAAGTATGTCAGTTCCAATGGCTGAGGGTTCTGTCCCTAGGACAGCCCCATTTCAGGCCTGGCATCAAGTCCAGGTCTCTGGAACTTCTGACTGGCCAGTTCTAAGTCAGAGTTCTCACAACCCCTCCTCAGATAGGTTCCCAGAACTTTATTCATATTTACAGTTTCTTTTTAAATTTATTTTTATTTTATGTGTATGGGTATCTTGCCTGCATATATGTTCATGCAACATGTGTGGGCCTGGTGCCTACTGAAGCCAGAAGAGAACATTGGATGCCCTAAAACTGGAGTTGTAAGACACTATGTGGGTGCTGGGAATTGAACTCAGGTCCTCTGGAAGATCAGCCAGAGCTCTTTACCACTGATCCATCTCTCCATCACACAGTTTCTTTAAAACAAATTACAATTATTTATTTGTGTGCATGTACGTGTATATATGTAAGTATGTATGTATGTGTAACACACACATATGTACACAGGCACACATGCATGCTACGGGTGTATACACACACACACACACACACACACACACACACACACACACACACACATACACACACAGGTCAGAGGACTCCCAGTGATCAAACTCAGATTGTCAGGCTTGGCAGCAAGCATTTTTACCTACTGAGCCACCTTATCAGTCCTCCAGCTCCCTATAGAGAATATTTTGAAGGAAATAATCAAGCAGTCTGTGAACAGGTCCTGTGCATAGGAGCTTTGTACCTTAGGGCTTTGGGGTACACTCCTCCCAGCTCATGAATGAGGTTCCATTCCCTGGCAGCCACTGTACTAGCCCCTGGAGTCCTCCAAAGCACCAGTCTCTGGAGATGTTCCTGTTCTTGGCATGGGCCAGGTTCACAGAGAGAACTGTGGACTATGTACCATTCAGGTGGACAGTTGGGACTGTGAGGGCAGACAGTGGGAGTGGAATCCAGTAGTGCAGCAGATGGAGGTACAGGGGTTTGGTCATCAGTGATCAGGACTTCCTGGGCTTCAGGAAATGAGAAGGACCCTCTGAAAATGGAACTATGTGCTGTACTGTGATGGACAATCTTGGCTATCAACTTGACTACATCTGAAATCAATTGAATACCAAGCAATTGAGCGTGCCTGTGAGGGCTAAGAAATCCCTTTTAATATACAGGTGTTTACTCCATCCGTTCCGTTCCTCTAGAGAAGACTGACTAATACGCATACCAAAAGCTGTCTACAGTGAGCTAAGTACGCCAAGACCTATTTGTGTTTTAGACACAAGCACAATGAAGTTTGCATATCTTTATCATGTTTTTTTTTCCCCAGCAATGAAACCACTGTGGAAAGAACACAAGACTGCACCACCTGACAGGGAATCCAGTACTTGACACCTCTGCCAGCAGTAATCCCTGAGCTACACACCACTTCTTAAGGACCAAGCCAAGACAGCACAGACAGCCTGCCAGCACAGTGCCATGCCTGTTATGAAACAGATGTGGTGATAAAGAGAGGAAGGACTATTTTAGTCAAACGCTTACATGTTTATTTTCTTCAAACCTGATTTTAAAAAACTGCTGCCAGAATTAGCTCACATCACCCAAATTAAAAGCAATACGCAATTTCTACACTGCTGCTAGCATTTATTCACAACGAGCCAGTAGGAGGAGACACACTCCACAGTGCTGATACTTTGTTATTCCAGCCTTAACTTTGCTTGCTCAGCACATGCTTTACCTAGCTCCTTGTGACCTGATTTTCTTGGATCTCCTTAAAGATGATTTATTTGTGCAAAGGATATACGTAACTCAATCCTCCAGAGTATGCACATGTTGTATAGGGATCTTGCTGTTTCACATACATGACAGAATTAATGCAAGGCTTTACTTCTGCAGCATGTTAAAAATAGGTGGCCATTAGTTGAGCTCTGGGTAGCAGCAAGAACCTTTAAGTCTCCTCAGACTCACTTCAGCTCTGGGATTTCCAGTGTCTCTCAGAAAATTCTGGTTACAGAGAAACTGATTTCACATTGCTAACGGAGCTAAAAGATGGGTCATCAGCAAAAATAAAACTCTACTGCCGTGAGTTCGAGGCCAGGCTGGACCGACAGCCTCCAAAACAATACAGAGAAACCCTGTCTCGTAAAACCAAAAAAAAAAAAAACAAAAACAAAAAAAAACTCTACTGCCTGGCACGTCAATGGTGAAGGTAACTGTGATTCCTCCCACCTCCTAACTGCATATGTCCCCCTCACTGCACACACACATGCGAGTGCGTGCATGCGTGCACACACCCACATACCCCACATACACATCCCCAACACACACACAATCAGCATCAGATGTAAATAAAACAGAATCTCCAATGGAGTTCTCAATTTTTTTTGTAGAACATTTATGGGCACAGAAATAACAGATGAGACATTTCTTGGTGCAAATTCAAAACCCAGTGGTCGGAAGCGAGCCCACTGCTGTCCCCCAAGCATGGTGAACTCCAGGGGCTTCAAGCTGTTCTGCTTTGCCCACATGTACACCCTCAGTAACTTCCCCTACTGCCTTGACCGTGCTACTCACGACTCTCCAGTTGGCAGTGCAGGAGTGCTCAGTGGATGGCTCACTCTGGAGCTGCCACGCAGGTGCAGAGTCCCGGGGGTGTTCCTTGGTACCAGGATGTAAGTGAGGAAGCAGAAAAGCCACAGACATCCTGGGGCACACACAGGCACAGAGCACCCTCTGTCAACCACCATCCTCCCATCATTCCTCACCTCCACACCAAGAATAAAACGTCCAACCTTCCCGTTCCACAACGTGGCCCTGACTGAATTACTCTTCATATTAGCATTTTGGGGGCTTCAGCACCCCAACAGAAACAGATACTAACTTAACTGACAGTCAAAAAAAACTAAACACCAAAAAAAAAAATCCAAGAAAACAGCATGGAATGGTAAAGGGCCTTCATAAGACTTCCCTAGTATCAACAGTGATGAAGTCAGTCAGCCCAAGGATGGCTGGGGTTATGTGAGGTCTAAAGAGGTCCATGGCCACAGAAAGACAGGAGTGAACGCAGGGTAATAGTCTGTGCTGGGAATTATTCAGTGAAATGCATTTCAAAGGCAAGCCAAAGGACTTAATTAATTTTTTTTAAAGACAGGCCTTTGCTATGTATCCCAGACTGACCTTGAACTCCTAATCTTCCTGGATTAGGAATTCCAACCCTGAGGGCTTGGAATTCAGGCCTCTGCCACCACACCTGGCACAAAAGGCATCTTCTGTCAGATTTTACGAGGTTTTAAAAGGGTTTTACTTACCTTGAATGTGTTTCGTTTTTATCTTGGCTTAAATCCTGAGGCCAGACTCCTTCAGGACAAAATGAGAGCGCAGCTCAGCGGTACTGAAGCAGCAAGTGTGATGTCCTGGGCTGATGTGCTCCTTTAGCCACACCTTGAGTTCTCCATGCCCACCTTGGCAAACTTCGATCTGTAATAAAAGATTCGATTACTCAGTACCTACTTAACTTCAGGTTAAAGGCTTTTCACCAACTGAGAAATGAACGCTCACAACACTCTTGTTTGTGGTTGGCCGTTAACTTGAGATCTTGCATCCACCTCCCCAGAACTGACATTACTTACATGCATGTGCCATTGACTCGACACTCTGAATTTAAAAGTCTTCTTCCTGCCCGTAAGCTTATACCAGTTTAAAGATGCTTTTACCAATTTTTAAAGGGGATCCACAGTCGCCATCAGGCCTTGGTTCACTTGTCCACAAGTCACTGCACATGTTACAGCCATACTTAAATCCTACTGGCCCAACACAACACCCTAACAGAACCCCAGGGTTAGAAAGGAAGGAGGGCTCAGGTAAAATCTGTTCTCTTTAAATAAAATGCACACATCCATTATGCATGCAAACACATGTGTGTGAGAGTACAGACACAGGGACACATGTGCCCAGGCCCTCACTCTGCCCTGGTAGCCACCCTGCTTCTGACTGACTGTGAAACTCTATCTGTAGCCGTTCCCCTCAGTGTGCTGTCAACTAGTCAGACTGTTAAGGGCACTTCACCACATAATAAACTCAGGACCCTACCCCCCCAGAGCTCCTCCTAGATATCTGGAGAGCTATGTCTGGAGGTGACTAGATCCTTGCTAGGAGCAAAAATGAAGTGTGTGTTGTGCCTCTCAGTTCCTAACTCTCACAGGAGCCCACTGCCACCAGGGCATGGCTGTAGGTCTCCTGAGGGGCAGGGTGAGGAAAAGATAGCCTACAAGTTTCCCTGCTGTGTCTCCCACAGCCCTACATTATAACTCCAGAGTCAACAGCTTCCTCACAGTTGCTTTACTGGGTCACAGAGCCATCCCACCCAGAACAAAGGCATCTGGGCCATGTGCCCAGAACTGCTCCTTCATCACTTCACCATGCCTGGGCACAAGATCCCAGTCAGGATGATCATAAACACAGTGCTGTTTTATGTGCCACGTATTTTAAGATGCATTGCCAGGCACCAAGTGCTAGTCAAATAAAATTATCACTACAAACTACGGCAACACTAAACATGTGAATTTCATCTCCAAAACTTTTAAAAATTAAGTAAATTAACAGATCCCAAGAAAATTACAGACTTACAAAGGCTTCAGAAGAAATGTAATGTGTGACAAAAGTATACATGTGAAAGCATCAGAAAACAAAGTTTACCCTACAACAAACCCTCCATACCTAGACCACTACTCCAGGAGGTTTAACATGTCTATCAAGATAATGAAAAGGAACAGGACTAGTCTGTCCCATGCAAACAGATGTGCAAGCTCTATATAATAAGAGGGGCGCAAATTCAACCCAACAAGGTGGGTTAAGCTGTGGCTGTAGAGCTGTGAATGTGCGTAAAAGTCAGTTACAGTGATCTACCTACCAAGTTAGCCACGTAGGAGAAACACGAGATGAAAGCTTCCTCCCAGGCAAGTCAAACCATAAGTTCACAGGTACATGCTTACATGGACAACTGAGGATAAAACCAAGTCAGAGTCCCAAAGTGTAGGATAGAAGGTATCTACCAGTGTGTGAGGGAGGGTGCTACCAAAGAGCAACATGGAGCAGACTGAGTACCACTGTCCATCTACTTTAGCTGGTGGTCATGCAGTTAAAATTATTCTTTTATACTAGTTTTTTTCTGTACAGAAAACATATAATAAACATGTATTAGAAAAATATCTCCAACAACAAGTGGTTTACAGAGCATTACCTGCAGCTGCTATAGGGCTAGCTAATGGCCCCTTGTTGGATAAGGCCACCAGATGATCACCTGTAGCACAGAAGAGAGGACCCCATGTACAGCTCAGGTATCAGAGGTGTGAGCCAGCATGAAGGCAGCTGGAAGCTTTATATTCCTCAGAAAGGAGGCAGAGTTGTGACTGTTGTGCCTGTACAGGTGCATGTGTGGTTGAGAGAAAAGGCAACCCTCAGGATGGAGGAAGAGTGTACTGACAGACACTCTGAGGAGCTAGTACCCCCTCCACTTGTGGAGCTCCTCTTGGTGGCTGTTCCAAGTCTCAGAAGCCCCTTTTCTGACAAGTGTCTCCAGGTTCACCAAGCTGGAAGGCGGCTTCAACAGCTTACGCACTCATGCCAGTGAAGACTGATACCAACAGCAGTACAGTACAAATTGTATTAGCATGAATTATCACTCTAGCACTTGATAGATTTGTTGTGCCAGTAATAATCATATTGATTAGATAAAATAATTACATTTCCTCTTAAAGTGATATTTATCATTATAATTTAATCACACTATGGGAGTAGGGACTTTGTCTGAGGGCTCAGTGACCAGCATCCAGCAGAAAAGGAGGACCAGAGCTGGCAACCACTCCTGGGACTGTGGCTCTAGAAGGAACAGGTGATTTCCTATAAGCAATGTGAGAAAATCTAAAGGAAAGAGAAATTTTAGAAGCTTTAAAGTAGCAGACCAGTGAGCTGGTCCATGGCCATCTGCATCTCAATAAGGACAGCACCTCCACACCTAGCAGTGGCAGCCCAGGACATAGGCCCAGCTAGTTCATGCACATGGCAAAACCTAAGAATGACAATTCCTCATGGAGGGACACTAGCAACTGAGCTCACTAGTCCACTGAAGGATGTTTTGAAACAAGACAAAGTATATTCTGTTCTAAGAATTCATACCAGTTTGGGTTTAATTTAAACTTTTCTTTTCCTCTCTGACACAGACTAAGTTTTAGCTGGAGTATAAGTTTGTACCATAGTCAAGAAATCGGATTTATCTCAGTTCTGAAGATCCAATTAAGCCAACATCCTTCTAATAACGTTGGCATGGACACTCAGACTCCAAGCATCAGCTGGTTTTTCCTTGATTCTCTGTGTTTTACTGAACACACCAAAGGAAGAGTATTTTGTCATTTGCTTTACTGACTACATTAAACAAGTTTTATGTTCTTAGCAAGTAATGACCTATTTTCTTTATAACATCCTAAGAACAGACTATGAAAATATAAGGGCTCATAGCACATACAAAGCTCAATCTACACAGCCTCTGGGGAAATGCAGGGGCACTACCTGGCCCACACAGTCTGGCTGCCTGGCAGAGACAAGCAAGGGTCAGCAAAGGCTGGGGCAGATCTGGAAATATCAAGATCTTCCCTGAGTCTCAGGATCTCAACTGTGGGAACACTGCTCACTTTTAAGTATGTGCAGCGTTTTTTAGTCAATTCTGAAATTTTTTTAGTTCCCCTTCCCCAGGCTCTCATACCTCCCACACTGGCCTCAAACTTAGTATGTAGTCACAAATGACTTCAAACTTCTGATCCTTTTGCCTCCATATTTTGAGAACTGCAGGTGTGTGCATTGAACCTGGTTTATGTGGTACTGGGAGTCAATCACAGAGCTTCATGTATGTTGGGCAAGCAGTCTACCAAATGAACTACAGGCCCAGTCCTCATCTTGTATTTTTTAAAAGATTTATTTATTTATTTATTTATTTATTTATTATGTATACACTGTTCTACCTGCATGTTAGAAGAGGTCGCCAGATTTTATTATAGATGGTTGTGAGCCACCATGTGGTTGCTGGGAATTGAACTCAGGACCTATGGAAGAGCAGTCAGTGCTCTTAACCTCTGAGCCATCTCTCCAAGCCCGTATTTTTTTTAAGTGAATCAGTGAGCATTTTTGGAATTATTTTTTATGACTTGAGAGAAAATACTATTTCAGCAATCTATTGCTCCATGTGAAATTAAAACCTGTTGCGAATATTAAAAGGGCTCATTAAACAAATGGGGTTTCCCCCACATCTGACTGTTTATGATCAATTTGAGAGGAATCTAATGATCCCAATGCCATGAAAGAGCTCTATTTCCAGAGCTAGAGCCAGAGGAAAGGCTCACATGGAAAGAGATTTACAGAAAAACACAGAGACAGAGCCCAAAAAGCAAGGAGCAAGCCAGCAAGCCAGCGTGGGTGCTGGCCTCATGCTGAGGGACAGAGTGGAGGTGGTGAGTGAGAGAGATGCTGGCTGGCACCTTTCTCCTCAGGTCCACCCTCTTGGGAGAACTGTCTAGCCCTGGGCCAGATATAACTAAGCACACTAAAGGCCTGGGGGCTCAGGCTCCACGAGGAGGGCATCTGTCATGGTCAGGTGCTCACATCCTGGCAGACTTGGTTTGTTTGGGCAATGGGTAGGAACAAGTATCATCTTACTGGGTGGGCCTTGAGGATTTTCTATATAATTAATGAAGAACTACTAGGTTGAGATTTTCCTGTGTCACAAAACCAGAGGATCAGTCACATCGTCTCCACTATGGCTTTTTCTTGCCTTAAGGGAAATATTTTTATATCTTGAAAATGAAGGTACTTTCACCCAGTTATAGCTGGCAAGCCAACAAAGGCAAGAGAACTGAAGTCAGCGTGGAGCACATACAGACACACAGTAACAGAGATTCCTGCTGTACCAACAGTGACCTAAGGCACGGCTGTAAGGCCCTACTTCCTAAAGATGCTACCATCTTCTGATAGCACTTTCCTGGGGACCAAAACTCCAGTACAGGATCCCTTGGGTGGGGGGATGGGGGAGAGACTCTCAATTCAAATTCTAGAAGGCAGAGAAAACAGAAAAAGCTACAAACCTGGACCAGGAATAGAGAAATGAGACAAAGCCGTAAAAGTCACAAAGATGCACAGGGGTAGGGTGCAAGATTCTAAATATACCACCTTTAATCCCAGCACTCTGGAGGCAGAGGCAGGCAGATCTCTGTGAGTTAGAGGTCAGCCTGGTCTACAGAGCCAGTACCAGGACAGCCTCCAAAACAATACATAGAAACCCTGTCTCGAAAAAAAAACGAAAAAAAAAAAAAAGATTCTAAATATATCTAGCCAACACAATCTTTTCACAATGAGGACAAATGAAAGTGTTTCAGACAAACTGCTCCTAGGACAATTGCCACCAAAGAGAGTCTTAGGGGAAACATTTCAGA